GGGCGGAGCTGAGGCGGGGCGGAGCTGAGGCGGGGCGGAGCTGAGGCAGGTGTAAGAAGCTCAGGTTCCTGGGCCCCAGGTCATGGTGACTGAATGAAGATATTGAAGGTCAAGGAATTTGCATTTTTAAAAGTCTTATATTTTTCTTCCAGTGAAGATGTATCTGGCACACGTATAGGGGTGCTGGTAGGGGAAGGGGTGCTGGTGGGAGGGGTGCTGGTGCGGGGAGGGGAAGTGGACATCAGATCCCTGGGGGCTGGAACCCGAACTCAGGCTTTCTGGAAAAGCAGAAAGTACATTTAACCGCTGAGCCCTGCATTTTAGCAACTACTTTCAACCAAAGCAGTTCACGGGTACCTCTGTGGGAGAACCCCTGGGTTAACAGTCTGCATACTGAAGAGGTATGGTACACTTCATTTTTTTGTAGTATCATAGCTCCCTAGCGAAACAGGGGTGCAAATGTTTGCAACCCCACCCCCAGAGAAAGCAACAGGTGGGAGGAAAAGGTGAGCACGAGGCACTACCCACTCGAAAAACTAAGTCTCAAGGGGAGCAGGAAGGGGCACGGCCACACTTACAGTTACACGCACGTAAGTGGGTCAGCCTGCTCAGGTTCAATGCTTGTTTGCCCATTCCACTTTCCTTTAGGAGGCAATTAAGCCAGGGAGAGCAATGCCCAACCAATGGGGTTAATGCTGCAGAATGGATACAAACAAAACACACGCGCACACACACAGGCAGGCACACACACACACATACACACACACACATGGATCTTTTTTTTTCCTTGAGCCATAAAGAACAAAGTTATATCATCTTCAGGAAAATGAATTCAATCGGAGATAATCATATTAAGCAATTAAGCTAGACTCAGAAAGACAAATATTGCATATCTTCTCTCATCTGTGGTTCTAATTCTATATAGACATATAAAATTAAGTGTGTATATATACATTAAAATAGAAGCAAAATTATCTAGAGGAACACAGGGGCTGACAGGAGAAGGAAGGGCAGAAGAAAAGGAACATGACTAACACCATATACATTTGTATGAAAATGTACTTATGGACCACAGTACTATGTACGTGAAGTACACAAGTAAAATTATAATATAATTATATAATAATATAATATATAGATGTTTGAGGTAGACTCCATGCCCCTCTACTATGAAGATCTGGGTGAGAAAGCAGCCTCTGGGAGGAATGGACCCTCACCAGATACCTATCTGTGGATATCCTATATATGCACCAGAACTATATACAATAGATTTCTATTATTTACAACATACCCAGTTCAGCCTGTGGCATTTTGTTTTAATAAACAGAAACAACTAAGAACCAACTTATCATCACCCCCATCCTGAACCCTGACAGGCAAGAAGGCTGTGAGTAGATTCCAGAAGCACCATTCTCAAAGGGATTGTGCCGTACTGTTTCCTAGACAGGAGGAAGGCAGTCCCAAGATTCAGAGACAGCTAGTAACTCACCCAAATATGCACAGCACATGAAAGACAGTGTGTCTGGGTTCCTCTAAACCAAAAGTTTATAGTCTGACAAAAGCCCTGTCCTTCCATCAAACCATCCATCACTGAGAGCCAGTCCCAAACTCTTTTACCCAAAGCTGAGGTGACTGAAATAGCCTTTGGCTAGATGCACCACCTTGGAGGCCTGGCTCTGCAGCCCCCCAGTGCAGCAGGCAGCCGATTGAACTTTTAATGAATATTTATACAGTTAACAGCATAACCTTTCAACAAGGACAATGATTAAACAATCTGTCTGCTTCCTTTCTTTATAATTAATAAGGCATTTGCTGTGTCCCTAAATAGACAGTTCTAATTACAGGCTCTCAAGGACCCAGCAGTGCTTTCTATCGGTCCCTTCACCCCTAAAGAGCCGAGGCTCTTGGAAAGCCAGGACAAAAGAGGCCAAGGAGATCAAGTTGACAAACATCTCTTGGAGTGGTTGTTCTAGGGTCCAGAGAGGGGCAGGTACCTCAAATGCCTGTCTGTCTTGTGATATAGCGCTTCTCCAAAGCTGGGTCTAGGTGTGGCTCTCCACTGCCCACGGCTAAGCTGTGGGGTGTGTAAGTCTTGCTAATAGAGTCTTATAGAGGGAGCAGAGCTGGATTTCCATCCCTGATCTATACCGCTTAGCCATGGCACATGAGGACACTGCTGCTTTCCCTGGCATGGCTAGAAAGGTCAATGAGGTGCCCACCTAGTCTTCCCTCAGGTAGGCTGAGCCATATGACCATCTGATGCCTACTTCCAGGATCCTTGAAGCCAAGACCTATATAAGCCAGTTGGTATAGGCAAAGGGGCCTGGTTTTAGAGTCGATAGACCTAGGACCAAATCTCATTTACTAAGGTCCTTAGACCAGACGCTTGAGTTCTGGCTCTCTAGTTCTCCTCTGCTGAAGGGAGAGTTGAATGATTACCTGGGGTTGATAAATGGTTTGCAGGATGCGGTATGGAAATCCCTATGCTCAAAAGCCTGCAACACACTTGCAGCTCAGGAAGCAGTTACTCTTGTCCTGTCCCATGCAATGAAAATGTAAATGACTGTGGCTGAAGGAAGCGGATTCCACCCCTGGGGGCTGCACAGCAGCTCACGTGTCTCATCAAGACATGGTCTCCATCCCAGTATAGCCTTTCCCTCAGGAATAGATGCTCCCAAGGGACACCCTTGGCTTGCTGTCCAAGTGTTTAAGCTTCTAAGAGGCTGAAGCAAAAGTCCTTACTGCCAGACAACACTGTGAAGGAGTTTGACGTGCCACCCTGAAGTGACTGAAGGCATCTATTAATTTCCAGAGAATCCTGTTTCAGAAACCCTCTGCCAACTCATAAGTTAATAAATTAAGAAAAAAGAAAGATGTTTGTTGCCAGTACCTGATGACTACTCAGTGGTCTACAGTCTTAGAGACTTGAGTCTTCTGGACAGACAACTTCCAAATGGGGATAGCCTGCTCTAAGGAGACTGGAGACTTGGATTGTCGGGAACCACTAGTCTCACTTGGCTGGGCAACCTAAGGAAGTGCCTTAGGAGGCACACCCTTGCACCCTGTCTCCCTGAAGGAGCAGAGTTACATCAGGCTCCTCCACACAGCATCAGGCAAGATGGGTGATGTCAGATTTCCAGGCCTGTACTTCCTGATCTATACATCGGTGAGCAGGGGTAAGGAGTGAGGAAACTCCACGCCTAGTAAGCAGCATCCAGATCTGCAACTCATTTCCCTTGAACCAGTCTCTCCATCCCTGCCTGCGCCCCTCCCAGCAGATACCTGAAGGTGGGTCGGAGGCGTCCCCAATCAAGCGAGCTATAATTAGAGCCCAAACGATACTTTCATTAGGCAAATGTTCTGGGCCTTCCCGTTGTGGCTCTGGCTGTATTTGATGAGTACCTGCTCCCAGGCTCCTCTGCTTCTCACAATCCCCCTTACGATACTTTAATAATATGAATCCAGTGTCCCGATAGTCTAATAAACTGTTATGTTGGGGGCAGAGAGGTTGAGGCCCAAGTACAAAAATAGACAAGGCTAGCACTTACTCCAGTATTTATATTTTCTCACTGTAAATGGAGAAACTGAGGCCCAGGAAGACTAGGCAACTTACATGAGGTTTCAAGGCAAACGACCTGATCCAACTGAACCAGGTCCCAAGCCTACTGTTCTCTTCTATCCATAATCTTTCTGTTAGGGGTGAGGAGTGAGGCTCTATCCTGGGAGCTGGCACAGTCCCAGAAACCTGGTAGGCTATGGAAGTTGCTATGGCAACACCAATTAAATGGACAGCGGGTTGGCTGCTAGGTTTTCATTCAGTTGGGAAGCTGTGAGCAAGCTTGCTACCAAGTCCAGCTGCCTCAAATCCTGCCTGGCCTTCAAGGCCCTCTCAGGATGATTCTTCCAGGCCGCCCTCCCTAGTCAAAGACTCCATGACCATTGCGATGGTTCATAAAGTAGGGATCCCAGACTTTATACCCCACTGGACAAGGGCAAAAAAAAAGAGGGACTTGGACTACTAAGAATTTAGGAATCTTAAAATGGGGAAATCTAGTCAGGCAGTGGTGGCTCACGCCTTTAATCCCAGCACTTGGGAGGCTGAAGCAGGCGGATTTCTGAGTTCGAGGCCAGCCTGGTCTACAGAGTGAGTTCCAGGACAGCTACACAGAGAAACCCTGTCTCAAAAAAAAGGGGGGGGGAATCTTTGGGATTCTAAATTGGGACCCATATATGGTGGGGAGGAGGCAGGTGATATAGGACCCCACAAGAATCGCGTGGGATAATCTACGGGGAGTTGGGCCTCTTCACTCCTGGGTGCTGCCTTGGTGGCTGCTCCCACGAATCTCAGAGAGCTTGAGAACCCTGTCTTTTGTCGTGGGAGACACACTTGCCACAGAGAGGTTGCATGTCTGTGAGGCAAGTCTATCAAGTTCTTAAGGCTGCTCAGCTGTTAACTCTAAGGGACCTGGGAGTCAGAAGCAGGGTATGTAGGTCCATCACCAGTCAGAGGACAGTTAGCACTAGCATTCTGAGGGAGGAAGACAAGGAAACAGGCAGGATAGGAAAGGGGGCGGGGAGTGAGCATGAGCCACAAAGGACGGAGCCCGGGAGAGTGGGACAGGTGAGCCGGCCAATGATCTCCACAAAGCCTCTACCTGTGTTCAGGATCAAGGCAGAACTGGCTGACTATTAGGGTAGGAAGCCCCAACCCAACCCCAGAAACTCTCCAGGAGGCACAGGACTCTGTCCCTTTTCAGCTGAGCAGTGTGTTTCTTTCTCTGGGGAAGATGCAGCACCCTTGCGTGCTCCAGGCTAGCATGAAGATGGTGGTCACAGGCAAGTGCAGCAGGGCTCCCTTCTTTTGGAAGGGCAGGGAAAGAGCACAGAGTTTCCTTCTGCCTCCAGGCCTCCCAGGACAGCATGGAGTAGCATTTGGTGTGGTAAGGAAAGGATGGGCCTGCGGTAAAACTGGGGAGGGCTAGGCAGCTGCCTAGGAAATGAGAGGCCCTTTGTCTGGGGCGGGGGTCTCTCTTGCTCTCCCTTTCTCTTTCTCTCTTGGAAACTGGTAGCTCTGTTGCTAGGAGACAAGAAAACCCAGTTATCATCAGTGGCAACCTTAAATGGGACTCTGGCCTCCATTGTTCCTGCCTCTACCTCTGGGGCAAATGTTAGCCCCAGAGAGGGGCTTCTGGACTTCCCCTTCGTTTCCACTATCCTCCACGTGCTCCCAACAGCCTTTTGTCTCAGGCTTGCGCTGCTACAGCTCTGCCTCTGGATCACTGAGCCCTCCCCCTCCCCCTTCTCATCTCCTTTTTAATTTAACAAATGTCACGGAATGACCTGCCAGGTCTAAGTTTGCTTTGAGGATTAGAGCCTAGAAAAGAAATCATGGAGAGACAAAGCCCTGAGTGTGGAAGGCAGTCCCAGAGCATCAGCTACGCCACCTCACCCTGGTTCCTTATGTCATCATGTAGCCAGCCAGGAAGAACAGGCCTGAGAAAAAAGGGAAGCCCTTGAAGTCTTGCCTGGGTGGCCATGGACAAACCGCTCCAACTCTCTGAGTTTCTGTATGCCCCTTTTGAAAATTCAGAAAGTGGTGGTACCTGCCTCTAGAGGCTGCTCTGAAGATAAAAGGAATACAAAGAGCTTAGCGAGGTGTGGCCCACAGTAAATGATTAACAGGCAGGCACCAGCTGCTGTTAGCGCTGCTGGAATTACAATTCAGATCCTCAAGAAGGAGGGCAGGAGCCTGAGGTGAGACAGGGCTACTTCTGAGCACCATTCTAACTGGTGCTGCAGGAACTGAGTCCAGCCTACAAGGGAGCTGAGAAGAAGGCAGGGAAACAGGCAGGCAGGGCCACTCCACAGACACTTGCCTGCTTACCAGGGACCGCCCACTCCCCAGAGTCTGGCACAGAGCATCCTCTGACCATCTCCTGTGAGCCTAACAACATCCCAGCGTGAATGTGCTGAGGAGGAAACTGAGGTGGGGCAAGACTCACAACAGGTGGCCTTTGACTCATCAGATCCATCGGGACACTCCTCCTCGCCGTCACATTTCCACCGCTCCGGGATGCAGTGGCCATTATCACAGGTAAAGTCGCTGTCTGCGCAGGTCCTCTTGGCTGTGGGACGAAGATAAGAAAGAGCATAAGGGTGAGCATTGAATGCTTTTTCTAAGACGGAGGCAGGGGTCTGGTGAGCACTGGATGCTTTTCTCAGGAGGCAGGAGGCAAACGGGTAACTGGGGTGTGTGCTCAGCCTAAGAAGTGTACCCCCAAAGTTCCCCGAGGGTCTGTAAGGAGCTCAGGCCCAGCAAGGCTGGCACCAAGGCTCCACACCATAGCATCTCTCTCCTCACTCCTCCTGCAGACAGGGCTCAGCCTCCTCACCTGCTTATACCCCACCGGACAACCAAGGCCCCTGGGAAAGCCCCAGGGAGCTCATGACCGTGAACCCTAAAAGGAGACAATGATTTTGAGGCAAGATGAATGAGGAATTTTGTCCTTGAAGTTGTGGCCATGATGGAGTACTTCCTGGTCAAGACACGCAGGGGGGTCCCTGTCATGGAACTCTGCAGGAAGACTCAGGGTTTCGGAATGCTGCTGGGCCCCCTGCCATCTACATGAATTTGAGGACATTACTAACCTCTAAATTCCCCCTTGACTAGAAACTGGGAGAACAAAAAGGCTGAAGGATGGCAGGAAGTTAGTGTGTGGGGACGTGAGGGTGTGCCGATGGGCCCTGGTGCACGGCAGGTGCTTGCTGTACAGCGATTGCTGTTTGTCTGGACAGTAATTAGAAGGGAAAGAAATGAGATGCTGTGTGCCCATGCAAGCTGAGATCTCGTGACTCATAGCGGATCAGCAGTAAGAACATGAATACCATGTCCAGCCCCAAACTATCTGCTACCCCGTGTGCCTAGTTCTGAAAGAAACTGGATTTAAGGGTCAGAGTGGAGAAAATGGCCATGTCCCAAGGTTGCCACCTTGTTATGTCCCTGTGTTGTCCTGGTGCTGGCACTGATCACAAATATCATCAGACAAGGGCAGAACAAGGCAGCTGTGCCAACAGGGACCCTGCAGGTGAGCTGGCGGCCCGCCCACCCTGCGAAGTATGGAGTTGGAGGATTTGGCCTTTGACCTCTCACACCCTTCATGTACTCCAGGGCCTCCAAGAGTCAGGGACTTTTCAACATCACCTGCACTCAGCTCCCATGAGCCCTCCCTAGGACTGAGGGTCCAAGAGTCGGGGCAGGAAGGAAGGGACCCTGCACAGGGAGCTAGCAGGCCTGGATTTACATTTTGGCTGTTCTGCTTTGCCATGTACTCTCAAGTAAGACACTTTCCCTTCCAGGCCTCTGGTCTTCATAGAGAAGGGCATTTGGTAAGACACAATCTTTTGGGCATGGTAGATAGTCATAGGCCAAGAGGCCTCAGGACTGACAGAGATAGCCTAAGAGGGTCCTTAGGGAGCCCAGGCCCTAGGAGTCCTCTCCCTGAATGACAGTGGAACTAGATGTGATATTGGGGCCGTCTGGATACTGACTGTTTCTAGCAGCTGGAAGATCTTCTTCCTTTTCTTCCCCTTTCCAACTTCCCAAATGGCCTCGCCCTGACTACTGTTGGTCTCTAGGCACTATTAGTATGTCCCTCTCTGCCAAGGCTGTCATCTAAAAATCCTTACTCTGCTTTCCATTATAAGCTTGGATGTAATTTCCCATCACCTCCAGTCTCTGCCGAGGGCCTCCCCGAGTTGCTATAATCCCCTCAATGGTCCTCTACAGCTTGGCAAACTTGGTACAGAAGGTAGATATTTGGGGCTTTTGGTTGTGTAGGCTCTGTTCTGTTCCTCAGTTTTGCTATTGTGGACAGAGCCCTGACAGAGAGTAAGTGGGTGCACAGGGTTGTGTTTCAGTAGAAGCTTGTTTCCAAAGACCAGCAACAGGCTAGTTTTGGCCTGTGCCCTTAAATCTGATGCCCGCTGCTTTACGTCATCATGAATCCTGTGGTCTGGTGTGGCTTGCTTTTCTCCTGTCTTTCCACAAGGAATGATGTCAAATTCCACACAGGACACAAGTCAGGGCAGACCACAGGAAGACACCAATGCCTGACTGGCATCTCTACTCTTACACATCCATGGTAGGATTCCTCCACCCTTGGTAAACAGTCCATGGCCTGAGGGTTTGTTGGGTCTTTTGTTTGTACTTTTCCCTTCTTGTGGTCCTCCAGCTGCTTCGTGGGGTTTTGGGAACAATGACTTTCTTCTCTGACTCCGGTCCATGTCTGCTTTGCTTTTTCCATGGTATCCTTTGCCCATCTCTAGTCTGAGTTTTCTTCACGTCTTCCTAAGACAGATGCCTCCGTTTCTTATTTTTTCCGGTTCTCTTGATGCTTCTGGGTATTTTACTCAGGAAATCCCAGGACAAACAGCCTGATGTCTCATCATTTGATGCAGGCAGAGTCCCAGGCAGGGCTCTTAAGTTGTATGCCTAAGTGGGAGCAGATCTGAACCTGTCAAGTCAGCAGGTTTCCTCCAGCACAGTCCTCCAACAGTGGCTGGCACACGTGGCAGAAAAGCCTAAGTGCCTGGAGGAGCCTGGAGGAGCCTGTGAGAACCCCAGTATCCAATAGGCCCATGCCTCTGGGAATGTAGAGACTAAGACAGCTAGTCCAAGGACCTCCAGCAAGGGGACGAGCCTGCAGGAGCAAGATGAATTGCTTAAGGTGATGCAGGAACACCGTCACTGGGCACAAGACAGCCAGACACCATCCCAGGATCCTCAGTTCCTGGGCATTCTGGGAGTGCAGGGGAGAGCTTGCTCTCTCCCTGTATGTCAAGTCATGGCAGACACTGGGCATGGAAGCCATAGCAGCCAAATGCCAGAAATGGCAGCTCAGGCTTAGCTGACCCACAGCAGACTGCGGGACAGACTGTTTCAGTATCTGAGCTGGTTTGGCCATATTCTCCCCAGATCTAGACTTGGGCCTCTCACCCCAAATCCTACAATCCCCTCACAGCTATCCTGGTAGCTGTTGTCAATCTGTTTTACAGAGGAAACTGAGGCTCAAAGAGGTGAGTGGGTAGGCGGCAGAAGGACTTCCGGGGTCTATGTGACATCTGCAAAAGGTAAGTAAATCCCTTTCCACAAACCTGCAGCCATGAGGGTATTGATTGGCAGGGGAAGAGCAAAGACTTCTGAGACAGAGGCCCCTCAAATCTCAGGGACCTCGTTGCAAGACAACCACCAAGCACAGAGGCTCCTGTACAAAGGTATACCCTTGCCATGTGCCCAGAAGTGTGCAGCAGAAACCTGGCCTGTGACGATCTATGCCTGGGTAATGTACCACCCTGGGGAAACAGGTGGTGTGATCACTTTCAGGCTAGAGACACTAAACCACCCTTGAAGTCCCTCTGTTAGACCTCTGCAGTCACATGGAAGGATCTGGCACTGGCGCTTAAGATGAATTCTGGCATGGCCACCTCTTTACTAGGTGACTGAGGGCAAGTCCCTTCTGTCTCTGAGCCAGTAAGGATGTGGCTTTCCTGTATAGCACTGCCACAGGACAAAAGGCAAAAGAGCTCAGTGAATAAGCCCAGCGTCGTCGGGTCCCTCCAGTGTCACCAGGCTAGCTCAGCCCTGCCACAGGAAGAGGCCAAGCAGTCGGTCAAGCTGCCATTGCAGGCCAGGCCAGACCCTACTCTCCTGGCCTTGGCTTTCGTTCCCAGGGCAATTCCCCAGCTGGGCTCCAGGCTGTGGTTCCCTGTTTCTAGGGATTTATGTCCCTCTGTGCCAGTCTGCCCCTTGGACAATGCCCACCTCTGTGAGTCCCTGTACTCCACGCCACAGGAGTGATACATAGTCATCCAGGGTCTGCGACATCATAATCTGGTGCCATGGCAACAGATGGACTGCCACAAAGGCTCTAGGATTCCACAGGGTGGTAAGGAGGGGCCTGCCCCAGGGAAGAGCAGAGGACAGTGGGAAATCCAGGACAAAGGGACTGGGAGCTACTGCTATGTATAATAAGAACGCAAGCCAAGGAAAGTGTCAGACAGTTCGTGGTCAAAGGGACTCTTCTGCCACCTGTGGCTGTGTGACTTTATTCAAGATGCACTGCTTCTCCGAGCCTTACAAAACACACAGGGCCACTATGAGGAGCAAACGGGCTAAGGATGGTGCTAGGGTTTGTAAACTGAGAAACAAAAGGGGACGTGGGTGAGTATAAAGTCACAGCCCTGGCCTCAGCTGACTGGTGTATGGTGTGCACGGTTGTCAGTCCACACATCTGGTGCTCCTCCTCAGGCGATGGAGCTGTAGTGCTGACTGGTCCTTCAGCAGCTCTCAGCCCCTGTATGCTCCTGAAAATTACCATGCTCACCCATCACTCCCAAATCCCACCCCCAGAGGCATCCTTCCCAAAACAACACACATCCTCACACCAAGGATGCCACCCACACTCCTGTGCAGAGATGTGGATTCAAATAAGCCAGCTGCCAGCTGCTCCTCGGGCCAAGAGAATGTCCCACCAAGATACATTTCCCAGATGAGTGACAGCTCAAGGCCACAGTGTGTGCCTGCAGGGGCTGCTCTTGAGCTCAGGTATCTGGGTCCACTGTGTGGCCACAAAGCCTGATAAAGGCCACTGGAGGAAGACTATCCCAACAGGGGTGCCTGGGTGAGGATGGGGGGGTTGGGATGAAGAGTGTTCTGGGAGGGACTAACAGGCCTGGACTGGAGGAACCAGCAGAGTCTGTAAGGACTGGGAAGGCAGCAAGTATCATGGAGCCTGAGAGCTCTACCAGGCTAGCAGCCAACTTGCTCTGCCTGGCATCAAACTGCCCCTTGGAGGCCCAGTTTGACCTTGCTTTCCTTGAGCTCACCCATGGGACCCACTGAGTATGTGGCTACTAACCAAAGGATGGCTTATTCAGCAGCCTGTGAGACCCACGGCTCTGTTGGCTTTGGGATTTGGTAAGGCTACGCAACATGGACCAATGGTTCCTAGCAGAGGAAGATAGTCAGAATACAGGTGGAGAGCCTGGGTGGCCATCTGCCCAGGTCTTGGGATATACTTTCCCCCTTGGAGAATCAGGAAGCCACCAGCTTAACAAAAGTCACCCC